ATTTGAGCTAATTATAAAATTCCCCTAAGGATTCGGTGCTACAGCAGAGATTCCCAGTTTGCAACTGCCATCCTCTTCCAGCCATTCTCTCTGCTGCCTCTCCGGATGTCAGACTTTGGCCACGCAGCCAAACAGGCCTCCTTCCAGTCAATTTTCTAATTCATAGAGTCAATCATAATAGAGTTGGAAGAGACCCCAAGGGCCACCCAGTCCAACGCCATTCTGCCATGCAGGAACTCAAAATCAAAGCATCCCTAATTAAGGAAAAGGGGATCCGTTGAGCCCCTTCTAGCCATGAGTCTGGGACAGGAGCAGCTCTCGGGTGCCCAATCCCCCGGGTGCCCACTGTCTTCCTCCTCGTCCTCCGGGCATTTTGCATCTCCTGCCAGGCAGCAGGTGTGTGTGGCAAGGCCTTCTCCCCTCTGAGCCTCCCTGCCTCCTTGGCTCTCTTCATTTGGAGGAGAGAAGGCAGGAGGCAGGTGCAAGGCCCGCGTCCTCCACGCTGCACTTGCGGATCCTCCGACCAGGTGTTTTGTCAGTGAGCACCAGATGCTAGTGCTGGGGGATCAGGACCCTCTCTCTGGGAGGGGAGACAGTTCCTTGTCTGGGATCCTGTTGGCGTCTTACGCAGGCAGACATTCCTCTACAGAAGCAGTTGGACACTTTTCCCTGGTTTGGTTCAAGGAGATGGAAGAGGAGCTGCACACGCGATGCTGCTGCACAAGCTTGATTGTGCATTCAGCCACACATTTTGTGCGGTGGTGGAGTCGTGCATCACTGCCATTCAACACAAAGGGCACAATTAATGGGTCAACCACCAACCCATGTAGGGATGTATACCATGCAAGCGCAGTGGGGGTCTTGGTCCTTCTTCCCACGCAAGGCCTCTTCGCTTGGGCTGCCCAGTTAGTGACATTTGTGGCCTCGGACCAAAGGACCGGCCCCTGGAAAGGCCACAATGGGCTCCCAGGTGCGATGCCGCAGAAGTGGGTCCTGGTGGCACCATTCGGTGTGAAGCCATGAGTGTGAATTAGACTGGCTCAGAGTATGTCACTCAGGAATTTTGAAATGAAAAGTCTAATGAAGGAGAAGACACACAGTTGTTATGGGCTGCCATCAAGTTGAGACTTATGGGACCACAGGAACGAGAGACCTCCATACACCCATGCTTTTCCATTCCAGTTTTCTCTGAGGATGCTAGCCACAGATGCTGGCGAAATGTCAGAA